ATGAATTAGCTTGGACTGGAAAGAATGGGCTGAAGTAGTACAGACTAGTTTGTAGCCTAAAACTACTTCACGGCCGGGCGCGGTGGCTCATGCCTATAATCCTAGCACTTTGGGAGGCCGAGGCAGGGGGATCACCTGAGGTCAGGAGTTCAAGACTGGCCTGGCCAAGATGGAGAAACCCTGTCTCTACTAAAAATACAAAAAAAAAAAAAAAATAGCTGGGCATGGTGACACATGCCTGAAGTTCCAGCTACTCGGGAGGCTGAGACAGGATGATCACTTGAACCCAGGAGGTGGCAGTTGCAGTGAGCCGAGATCGCACTACTGCACTCCAGCCTGGGCGACAGAGTGAAACTCTGACTAAAAAAAAAAAAAAAGAAAGAAAGAATAAGAGAGCAATTCAAAATTAATTTTATTGAGGATTTACTGTCAATATGAACTTAAAGCATGATCAGTAATTGATAATAAAACTTAATTGTACTAAAACATAGCAAAGGACCTAAAACTAACGTTTAATTTCTGCTATCTAAATATAACTAATTATCTTGAAAAGTTAAAATAAAATGTTAAAAGTAGAACTCCAAAAGCATCTGAAGAAAATACGAGTGATTTTTTTTACTTCAGTAAATATACCTGGAGTGGGTGAATCTTTTCTAAGCATGATAGAAAACAGATTAATAAATATGACTAAAAAACGGTAAGTCTGTTTGGGAAAAATACTGTTAAATGACAGTCTGGGGGGGAACTGTTGCTATATATTATAAATATATATTTCTCTATGTATTTTATATTATATATATAGAGAGAGCTTGCTAGCACAAGCAGTATGAAAAGATGCACAATCTAAGAGAAAAATGGCCAAAGACATGACTAGGCAGTTCCTGGAAGATGAGGTACTGGAAAAGATTATTTTTCATCTATCACGTTAGCAGAGGTCAAAAGTTTAATGACAGCCCTCTACTTACCTCTCTGAGCTCATCTCCAGCTACTTTCCCCTTCCTTCACTCCTCTCTAGCTACAGTGGCCTCTTTGCTGTTCCTTGAAGATGTAACGTGATCTTTCACCCAGAGCCCTTACACTTAACACATCCTTTGCCTAGGACAGTGCCCCAGACAGCCACAAGGCTTACTCCCTCACCTCAAGTCGGCCTCCCTGACCACCCATTTAAATTGCAACTCTTGGCCGGGCGCGGTGGCTCACGCCTGTAATCCCAGCACTTTGAGAGGCCGAGGCAGGTGGATCACCTGAGGTCAGGAGTTCGAGACCAGCCTGACCAATATGGAGAAACCCCCGTCTCTACTGAAAAAATACAAAATTAGAAGGGCGTGGTGGCACATGCCTGTAATCTCAGCTACTCAGGAGGCTGAGGCAGGAGAATTGCTTGAACCCGGGAGGTGGAGGTTTCAGCGAGCTGAGATTGAGCCATTGCACTCCAGCCTGGCCGACAGAGCGAGACTCCATCTCAAAAAAAAAAAAAAAAAAATACAGTCAGGACAAAGAAAAGTACTGAGATCCCACAAAGTTAACCTTCACAAGTATAAAATGATATAATATATGAACTGATAATATTCTTCAAAGATTTTAGAAAAACATGGGCAAGTTATTCTGTGGGGAACCTCTGGGTTCCCTATTGTAATTTGGTTGAAGATATGATCTAAGATTTACTTAAAACATTTAACCATAAATGAATAAAGTTAACATTTAGTAAGATTATTTGTAAGTAAACAAAGCAAAATAGTTTGGATTACTATTTTAAAGGCTAAAATCTGTTGGGTTTAAACTGCCAAAGAGCAAAACCTAAACAGTCACTAATGTGCTAGGTAATCAAATCACTTACTTTGAAAAGATGTAATGTTTCCTTACTGGTTAGCAACTGAAACCGAAAGTCAGGTATCTTGCCATCACAAGGGAAGCATTCATAAAACTCAGGCTCCTTATGTGTCACAGAATAGAGAACTATGATGAAATTTCCAGATTCTGAAAAAACCCTGCACCAAAAAAATGCCATTTAATTAAAAGTTAATGAGGATAACATGATTACACTCAAATAACTTCATGTGAGTCTCCCAATCTAGTTAACAAAATGACTAAAGGGTCCAATTTTTGTTCAAAAACTGGGGCCCACCACTTAGGAAGGCAAAAGGTGGGAGGATCGCTTGAGGCCAGGAGTTTGAGACCAGCCTGGTCAACATAGCAAGACCCCTCCTCTCTACAAAAAAAAAAAAAATTATTTTACTCGGGAGGCTGAGGCAGGAGAATGGTGTGAACCTGGGAGGTTGGAGTTTAGAGGGACTAAGGATCGCGCCATTGCACTCCAGCCTGGGTGACAGAGCGAGACTCCGTCTAAAAAAAAAAAAAAAAAAAGGCTGGTTCGTATGTGTCATGGCCTATAATATCCCAGCACTTCGGCACGCCTGAAGCAGGCGGATCGCAAAGTCTCAAGAGATGGAGACCATCCTGGCCTAACATGGGTGAAACCCCATCCTACTAAAAATACAAAATATAGCTGGTGTGGTGGCACATGCTGTAGTCCCATGCTACTTGGGAGGCTGAGGCAGTGGAGAATCACTTGAACCTGGGAGGCGGAGGTTGCAGTGAGCCGAGATTACGCACTAGCACTCCAGACCTGGCGACACAGCCGAGACTCTGTACTTCGGATAACAATAAAGAAGAAAAAGAAAAAGTAGGGGCCAGTGGCTATTTAAAATAGGTGGCTCACACCTTGTAATCCCCACACTTTGGGAGGCCAAGGTAGGTGGGATCACCTGAGGGTCAGGAGATTTAGAGACAGGCCTGACCAAGCATGGCAAAAGCCTGCCAACTCTGACTTAAAAAACACAAAAATTAGCCAGGCGTTGATGGGTGACGCCTGTAATCTAGCTACTTGGGCAGGCTGAGGGCAGGGTAGAACTGCTTGAACCCAGAAGGCAGAGGTTTCAGTGAGCCAAGATTCACGCCATTGCACTCCAGCCTGGGCGACAGAGTGAAACTCTGACTAAAAAAAAAAAAAAAGGAAAGAAAGAATAAGAGAGCAATTCAAAATTAATTTTATTCGAGGATTTACTGTCAATATGAACTTAAAGCATGATCAGTAATTGATAATAAAACTTAATTGTACTAAAACATAGCAAAGGACCTAAAACTAACGTTTAATTTGCGTCTATCTAAATATAACTAATTATCTTGAAAGTTAAAATAAAATGTTAAAAGTAGAAACTCCAAAAAGCATCTTAAGAAAATACGAGTGATTCTTTTTTTAGCTTCAGTAAATATACCTGGATTTGGGTGTGAATCTTTTCTAAGCGTAGATAGAAAACAGATTAATAAATATGAAAAAAACGGGTAAGTCTGTTTGGGGAAAAATACTGTTAAATGACAGGTCTGGGGTTAGGGACTTGTATTTATTGCTTGGGAATAAGGGTAATGAAATCTACATACTGTATATTATTTCTTCATCTCATATCGTATTTTAAATTTAGATTCTTTTGG